TTGCGAACACAGTGATACCAAATTTAATTACGTGCGCCTTCAATTATTGTCAGGACAGTCAAAAGAGTGTACACTTTTTCGGTCTTACAGCGTAGGCGTGCGAAGTGCCGAAAGCATCTGGGGTATTGATTTTTTTTGAGCGCCGAGAGCGCGAAAGTGTTAACACAACAGTAAAATGTGTACTTGGATGAAAAAACGATTCTTCGCTGCAGGGGATCGTATTCCAAGGACCTGCCCGAAACGCTACGCGTACTAGTGGCTGTACAAGAATGTAACAACTCTTGTATATATCTCCAAAATAATGCTCTGTCGGTGAAATTCAAACCTTATTGTTTTTAGAACATACGGGTCATAATATTGGTGAAGCTACCTTACCTTGAGGTTACCTTGAGGTGCTTCCGGGGCTTAGCGTCCCCACGGCCCGGTCGTCGACCAGGCCTCCTGGTTGCCGGACTGATCAACCAGGCTGTTGGACGCGGCTGCTCGCAGCCTGACGTATGAGTCACAGCCTGGTTGATCAGGTATCCTTTGGAGGTGCTTATCCAGTTCTCTCTTGAACACTGTGAGGGGTCGGCCAGTTATGCCCCTTATGTGTAGTGGAAGCGTGTTGAACAGTCTCGGACCTCTGATGTTGATAGAGTTCTCTCTCAGAGTACCAGTTGCACCTCTGTTTTTCAACGGGGGTATTCTGCACATCCTGCCATGTCTTCTGGTCTCATGTGATGTTATTTCTGTGTGCAGGTTTGGGACCAGCCCCTCTAATATTTTCCACGTGTAAATTATTATGTACCTCTCCCGCCTGCGCTCAAGGGAGTACAGTTTTAGGCTCTTTAGTCGGTCCCAATAGTTCAGATGTTTTACTGAGTGGATTCTAGCAGTAAAGGATCTCTGCACGCTCTCCAGGTCAGCAATTTCTCCAGCTTTGAAAGGTGCTGTCATTGTGCAGCAGTACTCTACTCTAGAGAGCACAAGCGTTTTGAAAAGTATCATCATCGGTATAGCATCTCTAGTGTGAAAAGTTCCTGTTATCCAACCTGTCATTTTTCTTGCAGTTGTGACGGCTACTTTATTGTGTTCTTTAAAGGTAAGGTCTTCCGACATGAGTACACCCAGATCCTTTACATTGCCTTTTCGTTCTATGTTATGATTTGCCTGAGTTTTGTACGTGGTTTTCGTTTTTATATTTATTTATAAGCTAGGCGCAATAAGGACCTAACACAAAGGTCGGATGCAAGTGATATAGCACCTATGAGGACGATACAGCGAGCGTTGTAGCTCTGAGCGTCACCCTTGCAATCCTATGCTATCTACAATTTATTTAGATGATACATAGATGAACAGTGTTAGCGGCTTCCATGGTGGTGTTTTCCATAGATATTTTCAAGAATACCTGAATCTCTTCCTAATTGACGGACACTCTTGAGGTAAGCTGAATCTCTTCCTGTGTGGGACCATACAAAGCGATCTTTTCAAGACTACCTTACAAATTGATCTTTTCCTATAATCTTTTCAATACTACCTTATGCTTTACAAGCTTGGCTACATACAACCTACAAGTACTAAAGCCAAGGGTGTACGCGAGTGCGTTATTTGCAAGCACACAGAATGAAGAAACAGGAAGCAAAAATTTATATGTACCTGGTGCACTGAGAGCGAAGTCGCGCTGTGTACCATGGGCTACTTCGTTGGCGATGGTGAGGGTTCGCAGGAGAGGGGACGGACGTGTCGTCGTTGCGCTCCGAGAAAACACTGGAATAAACCGGGCTTTTTTAAGATTACAACCATGGATTATGGCCCACAGTGATCAAGTGCATAGTGACCCGTAGGAAAGTTGAAGACAGAAATTAACAATGGAGCATTGAGTTAAATACAGAATAAACTTGGGACCACGTGGTGAGCCAATGCCACCAGGCTCATGTGTTCAGGCATATAGGCGATATATATCAAATATAGCGAGCAGTGATATGTTGAACAGTGAAGTGTAACACAACACATAAATTAGTGGATAGTGTCAGAGAATTGTACATAGAAAGAGTATAAATGTAAAGTTGTGGCAGGAGGCATCACACTAGGCTGTTACACCACATCCATGAGGCCTACACAGTGTAGGGACGTCCCTCAGTGATAATATACTGGCAATATATATTGTAATACGGGAAAGTGGATTTAGGAACTAGTAATAGAGTCAGTGAATAACATTGCAAGCCGGAAGAAAGCAGAAAATCCCTTAGGGTATTACAGGCAAATAATCAGTGTATAAATCAAGTAACTGGCAACCGGTGGCATCCTGCCCCCGACCTGGGACAAAGAACGGTCAACTATACGGTCCCCAAGAGGACCATATTTCTCCACAAGGTGATAAGTATTGCCACATAAACTTGAACAAATAAACATATGTAATATTATAAATATACTGTATACATATTATATATACAGTGCTTCCTCAGTCTAACGAACCCCGCTCTATCGAATTCCAGGAAGAGCCAAACAAATTGAATTCGGTACCAAATGTTCAGTGGAACATACAAATGTTCGATTAAGCAAGGAATGTTCGTACAAGCGGTCACCGAGGCCGAGCGTCGGAGCTGGCTGTCATCAACTATGATTCGCTAGAGTGTAAACAGTTATACATGTATAGTGTTTTATTATCCTTACCCATTGTTTCTAGGGAGAAATGGTGATAAAAATGGTGTCAGGGGGGGCATTGGTGAGAGAGTTGTTGTCAGGAGGCAATTGGTGTCAGTAGTTAGGGTTTTTTGTTAGCCAGGCAGCTGACAACCAGCTGAAATGGTGATAAAATGGTGTCAGGGTGGGTATTGGTGAGAGAGTTGTTGTCAAGAGGCAAGTGGTGTTAGTAGTTAGGGTCTTTTGTTAGGAGGCAGGTTGTCAGCCAGGCACCTGACAACCAGCTGAAATGGTGATAAAATGGTGTCAGAGGGGGCATTGGTGAGAGAGTTGTTGTCAGGAGGCATGTGGTGTCAGTAGAAGCTGGTTGTCAGTGGTAGAAGTTGTCAAGAGAAGCTGGAGTAAGTGGTGTCAGTAGAGGCTGTAGAGGCAACATATGACTGGTGCCTCCATGCTCCCCCTCCAGCCCCCCACCCTCCTTCCTGCTTCTGACCACCAGAGACCAGCCACTACCTCACTCTCCTCTCGTCGTCAGATGCCAAGAGTCAATTTAATAATAATTATCGCATTATCTACACTGAAAATAACCTTTTTATTAGAAAAATGTCATATTGGAGCAATAATAATGGTGAAAATTGTGATATATACAGTACATATTTTAAACAGTTTGAACACATTTCCTTTTCACTGAATTTTTAATACAATTGGGGTGTAGATAACAGCTGGCATTGTGTGGCCGGCCGGTCGCTCCTTGAGCCATTGGGGGGGGGTGAGTGGGAGGGGGGGGGTTTGTTTCCTGGATCCCTCCCTCCCTCCCTCTAACAGCCTCCGTACTGTACTGTAATACATTAGGTATTAATACAGTACTGTACTGTATAAAATGAATAAAACTTCAAAACAGACAATATTTGATTAATTATAACAAACAATATTATTTGAAAACAGTTTGTAAGCTTATTTAGAATAAATTTTGAGTAGGCCAATAAAACAAGCACAGGTCGTGTAAACGTTAGGCCTTGGTGAGGTGGCTGGCACTATTTGTCTCCCCTCCTCCTAGTCTGTTTACAAGAGCCCTGAGCAAGCTAATGTGAACCCCGTGTAGCTGTGGGCCATTTGAATCGTGCCTGGCACCCTATGGCGTATATATACACCATGCGCACCGTGGGACATGTTACTCATGGCGTATATATATGCCATACGCAGTTTAAGGGTTAAACAATATATCATAGTGATTGCCATCCGACCGTTTGTGTTCAAGGAAAAATAAGTGAAATTCGTGTGTAGTCAACGCCTGCCCACATGGTGCCAGGAGTCCTTAGGCAATAGTTACCAAGTCGTCAAAAAAATCACATCCCTCGCTATTGAAACATTAAGAAATTAGTGCTCATAGTGCTAAGCTCTCTATGCAAATCCTGCCTCAATTAAAATAAAAATTAAGAGAACATACCTTAATATCAAGTGAACAAATTATACACAAAATAAGTCCGTCATGTGTGTGTGTGTGTAATCAAGGGCCATTTGGAGGTAGGCCCACCCTGAGTACCCACTGTGTGTGTGCGCTTCCAAATAGTGTAACGTTCCCAGGTTACTAGTGCCCAGACACAGAAACTAGACGCTTCCACTGTAAGATAACTCGTGGGAGAATGCTAGTAATGTAATCTAACAAGTGAACAAAACAAATTAAGAGTGCGACACGTGGTAACAACACTGCCCGTCCATACAGCCTCCTCCAGGCCTGTCTCAAGTTAGGAAACACCCACGGTAAACCCCCAACGGTCAACATCCCACCTTGTAAGCACCACCACCATTGAACAGAAGTGTTCAACAAAAATGTCTTTGATAAAAACGTGTGTAGAATGCAACATGGAGGTAGATTACCAACAGACTTTCAATGCCAACTCTGTTCAGCAGCCATACACAAAAAATGTGCCAACATGACTAATAATCCAAGGAGAAATGGCCTCGGTGACCACTCTGTGTATTGGCTCTGCAAAAAGGATGATGTAACTTTTTTGAAGATGATTGAAATCCTGGATAAAACTGCCGCTGAAAACAGAGAATTACTAATAAATGCCTGCATAGCAATTTCTGATGTCTTCAAACAAACTGTACATGACACCAAGGTACAACCAGATGCGGCGCATAGCTCGGTGGCAGCGGCGCCTAAGCAGAGCGCAGAGTCGGGGACGCCAGAGCAGAGCGCGGAGTCGGGGACGCCAGAGCAGAGCGCGGAGTCGGGGACGCCAGAGCAGAGCGCAGAGTTGGGGACGCCAGAGCAGAGCGCAGAGTCGGGGACGCCAGAGCAGAGAGCGGAGTTGGTGACGTCGGACCAGAGCGCGGAGTTGGTGACGTCGGACCAGAGCGCGGAGTTGAGGATGCCTGAGCAGAGTCCGGAGTCGGGGACGCCGGAGCAGAGCGTGGAGTTGGGGATGCTGGAGCATAGCGCGGTGTCGATGGCACCAGAGCAGAGAGCGATGTCGCGGGAACCGGAGCAGAGCATGATGTCGCGGGCACCGGAGCAGAGCGTGATGTCGCGGGCACCGGAGCAGAGCACGGTGTCGTGGGCACCGGAGCAGAGCAGTGTCGGGGGCGCCGCAGCAGAGTGCGGTTCCTGGCAAAGGGAAACTAACAAAACAAGGCCCAAAAATCTGTTGGTATTAAAAATGGGGTACCTGTAAGCATGGGATATCAGGAAGAACAAATGTAACATGTAAGTACGATCACCCTAGAAAGTGCAGAAACCTCCTCAGTACAGGTAAATGTACCAAAAGCTGTGAATTATTTCACCCAGAAATTTGCAAGAACTCTTTAGACATGAAAGAGTGCTTCAATGCTGAATGTCCAGCTTTTCATATAAGAGGTACCAGGTGAATAAAACCGACAGACCGCCACATTCACGGAAAATGAAAAGGAAATGTGTGAAATATTAAACGAAAAGTTCCAAAGTGTGTTTGTACAAAATGAAATCTTCAGGGAACCAGATACAATAAGAATTCCAGAGAACAACATAGAGCACATAGAGGTGTCTAGAGACGAAGTGGAAAAAATGCTCAAGGAGTTAAATAAGAACAAAGCAGTTGGTCCAGATGGAGTTTCACCATGGGTTCTGAGAGAATGTGCACCTGAGCTCAGCATTCCTCTTCAACTGATTTTTCAGGCATCCCTGTTTACAGGAGTTGTAGCTGATGTGTGGAAAAAGGCTAACATAGTTCCAATCTACAAAAGTGGAAGCAGGGAAGACCCCCCTTAATTGTAGACCGGTATCATTGACAAGTGTAATAGTCAAAATATTGGAAAAAAAAATTAAATCTAAATGGGTAGAACACCTGGAGAGAAATAATATAGCATCAGACAGACAGTATGGTTTTCGATCTGGAAGATCCTGTGTATCGAATTTACTCAGTTTCTTTGATCGAGCAACAGAGATATTACAGGAAAGAGATGGTTGGGTTGACTGCATCTATCTGGACCTAAAAAAGGCTTTCGACAGAGTTCCACATAAGAGGTTATTCTGGAAACTGGAAAATATTGGAGGAGTGACAGGTACGCTTCTAACATGGATGAAAAATTTTCCGACTGATAAAAAAATGAGGGCTGTGATCAGAGGCAATGTATCGGACTGGAGAAATGTCACAAGTGGAGTACCACACGGTTCAGTTCTTGCACCAGTGATATTTATTGTCTACATAAATGATCTACCAGTTGGTATACAGAATTATATGAACATGTTTGCTGATGATGCTAAGATAATAGGAAGGATAAGAAACTTAGATGATTGTCATGCCCTTCAAGAAGACCTGGACAAAATAAGTACATGGAGTGCCACTTGGCAAATGGAATTTAATGTTAATAAATGCCATGTTATGGAATGTGGAATAGGAGAAAATAAGACCCCACACAACCTATATATTACATGAGAAATCTTTAAAGAATTCTGATAAAGAAAGAAATCTAGGGGTGGTTCTAGATAGAAAACTATCACCTGAGGACCACATAAAGAATATTGTGCGAGGAGCCTATGCCACGCTTTCTAACTTCAGAATTGCTTTTAAATACATGGATGGCGATATACTAAAGAAATTGTTCACGACTTTTGTTAGGCCAAAGTTAGAATATGCAGCAGTTGTGTGGTGCCCATATCTTAAGAAGCACATCAACAAACTGGAAAAGGTGCAAAGACATGCTACTAAGTGGCTCCCAGAACTGAAGGGCAAGAGCTACGAGGAGAGGTTAGAGCATTAAATATGCCAAAACTAGAAGACAGAAGAAAAAGAGGTGATATGATCACTACATACAAAATAGTAACAGGAATTGATAAAATTGATAGGGAAGATTTCCCGAGACCCGGAACTTTAAGAACAAGAGGTCATAGATATAAACTAGCTAAACACAGATGACGAAGAAATATAAGAAAATTCACTTTCGCAAACAGAGTGGTAGACGGTTGGAACAAGTTAGGGGAGAAGGTGGTGGAGGCCAAGACCGTCAGTAGTTTCAAAGCGTTATATGACAAAGAGTGCTGGGAAGACGGGACACCACGAGCGTAGCTCTCATCCTGTAACTACACTTAGTTAATTACACTTAGGTAATTACTATGAAAACAGCCACAACTCCATCGACCGGGATGATTTTTTAGCAAGAGAAAGAAGAGAAGAATGACTAAAAATGACCAGATTCTACCACCATCTCAGTCAAATGCTAGAGAAGACACAAACACAGTGGCCTCCCTACCAGAGGCTCAGATATTAACACCAAGTAAAGCATCCAGCACTTCCACTAACACGATAACATCATTTATATTTGTCAACATCCAGGGTATAAAAACACGCAAATCCAACAAAATTCATTTTATAGATGGTCTCCTTCATGAGGCAAATGCAGTGTTTGCAGCCCTAACGGAAACTCACACAAAGGACTACCATGATGGTCAAACACGGATCTCAGAGTACAATCTTTTCAGATGTGATAGGAAACACCGGCTTCAGGGTGGGGTCAGCCTCTATATCAAAGACACACTCATCTGTACTGAGCTGCTAAACACCTCAAATGATATGGTGGAAGTGCTGATAGTCAAAATAGAGATCCTAAATGTAGTTGTTGTCCTTGTATATAAGTCACCGGAGGCAAACCCTCAGCAGTTTAAAGACCAACTAATGAAAATAGAACACTGCTTGAAAAACCTCACAAATCCAGCCCCGAACATCATCCTGCTTGGGGACTTCAACCTACAGCACCTGAAATGGAAATACATGGCTAATACAGTAATATCAGAAAGAATACCAGGAAGAAGCCTAAATGAACAGGCACATACAAATGACCTGCTATGGATGTGCGACAGGTTTGCCTTAACCCTTAAACCGCGCATATCATATATACAGTGCTTCCTCAGTCTAACGAACCCCGCTCTTTCGAATTCCCGGAAGAGCCGAACAAATTGAATTCGGTACCTAATGTTCAGTGGAACATACAAATGTTCGATTAAGCGAGGAATGTTCATCCAAGCAGTCACCGAGGCTGAGCGTCGGAGCTGGCTGTCATCAACTATGATTTGCCAGAATGTAAACAGTTATACATGTAGTGTTTTATTATCCTCAACCATTGTTTCTAGTGAGCACTAGCAAGGACTCCCTTCATGAGTCAGGTGCAATGTTTCCTAATGCTAATGTGACCTGGCATATGTATATATATAAAAAAAAAAAAAAAAAAAAAAAATTAAGACGGTTGTTGGGGCCGGAAGGATGGAACGAATTCCGCAATGGAACGAATCGGCTTCGCCCCATATAGTTCATTCAAGTGAGGACACACTATATGCTTTCAGTGGCAAAACAGAAACCGCGCATGTCATATATATATGATTTCGTGTCTAGCGCTATAATTTAAACGCCCCCACCTGGGATAGGGGTAGCTATAGTGCAGCCACGACCGATACTTGTCAGATGCCACCTAGAAAAAAAATCCAGGCCAACATTTTTGGGTGTGAGAGCGTCAGTATTGAGCAAGCCACCAAGGCTGGCGCATGCAGCACGAGCTCACAGCACCGCTGTTCACCTTTGACCACAGCATTGCCTACAAATGCCATAATATATATGATCATGCTATTATTTAGCAATGATAGTATTATAGAAGACCCCTGACATAATAAAACTGACCAGGATTCTGATAATAGCAGGATTGTGGTGATATTTAGCATTGTGCTCCATGGAGGGAGGAGCAAGCCTGTGGGAGGGAGGGTGGTGGCATCATCTTCTGACTCTGTGTGGCCACCTTTTATTGACTGCACTCACCATACCAGCTTAGTGGTTCGCTGTGGTGAACACAAATGTAGATACTTGTATATAACATGTGTATAGAGTGTGATAACAGTAATAGGAGTAGGTTGAGAGCCACCATTTTGGTGAGGGAGGTGCGTTGTCTGCACGACTTAACATGCTGTATACTGATGGTCACTATGGTCTTTCGGCACCATACCAGCTTATTTGTACAGATATGGTGAATAAAACAGGTAAATACTTATATATAATGTGTGTATATAGCGTAATAACACCACAAACAATATTGTTGGAGGAGAAATATTAGTGCGTCTGGCCTTGAGGGCGGCCGCCACCAGCTGACTGTGTGAGTAGCTACGTCTTTGTGACTTTACTCACCATACAAGCTTTACAGTTATGGTGCAACAAACAGTACAGTTATGGTGAAGAAAACAAGTAAATACTTGTATATAACGTCTGTGTATAGTGAATAAATGCAAAAACAGTATTGTGGGAGGAGAATGAGGGCGAGTGAGGTGTTGTTGAGGGAGGGAGTGGCAGCGAGTGGCTGGCTGGTGTGTGGCGGACACTCCTCGTTGCATTTTGACTCAATACCAACTTAGTGGTTCGTTATGGTGAACAAAACATGCAAATACTTGTATAGGCTCTGTCAACGCCCCTTTTTTGTCAGACTTCCCTACCCTATTGCGGCTAAAATATGCCACCTACGATTTTTTTGTTATTTTTACCATGACCAGGGAACAAAAATGAACACTTCTATAGGACGAAAAAAAAAATTGTATTTTTTTTTTTTGTTGCACCTGTGGGTGTGAAATCCAATTGGGCCCCTAGTGGTTTCAGGGTTAAACCATCAAATAGTAGAACCAACTAGGAAGGAGAACACGCTGGACCTCATTTTCACCAATAATGATAAATTGATCAGGAACATAATGATTACAAATGCCTGTTATTCAGATCACAACTTTATTGAAGTTCTGACAAGCATGGGAATAGACCTTCAAAACCAGTCCCGATTCCTGGTGGAGGTGATTTCAGCAAATTCAACATCAATAATAAAAAGATAAACTGGGAGCAAATAAACCAAGACTTCACAGAAATAAACTGGGAAGAACAGCTAGAAAATGCAAACCTGAACCAGTGTCTGGAAAAAATAAGCTCAGTAACACTAGAAATATGTTCAAACTGCATACCCCTAAGAAAAACGAGGAAGAGATGCAGATTGGAAAGGGAATGTCGTTCCCTCTATAGGCGAAGAAAACGAATTGCCGATCAACTTGAGAATCGCA